GGGCTTGGCTGGGCCCCAGGCTTCCCCTGGCATTGCAGTGTGATGGGGTCTCAGCAGGCAGGGTCTCCGGGTGAGGGCTGCATGGCCAGGGGCCGAGGGGTTTTCCTTTCCTGCCTAGGCTGGAGAGATGCTCCACGCCGCCCAGGGCCAGGGACCTGCCTGCCTCCAGGTCTCAATGCGCTGTCAGGAGCCGGGGTGGCTTGGTAAAATGTCTGGAGCATAGGGCTGGGGCCAGGACTCCTGGGTTCCATCTGCAGTCACCGTCCCTCTTGGGCAGGGCCTCTCCCTGGGGGCAATTTCCATCTATATGAGGAGGGGGAGGGTGGGTGTGTTCCTGGGCCAGGGCCCTCTTGTGCTTGGTGCTCTACAAACACAGACCAAAAAGATGGCACCTGCTTTGGCTGTGAGGTTACATTCATTCACGTTCCTAAAACGTTTCAAACTTGGCTAGAAGTGAGGAGAGTGTCACCCTGTGGGCCCGTGTCCCTGTGTTTATCAGAGTTCATCAGGCAGGTTGTGTTCATTATTAACCCACCTCGCATTGTTTATTACAACTTTTATCTCTTCTGGACAAGTTCCTCCCTGGGCTATCCCTGCTGCCTCATCATTGGTGTCTCCTGTGGGTAATTCAGCCCCTGGATTTTATTGTTGAGAGACTTTTGGACAGGGCACTGGACTTGGATTCAGGAGATGTAAGTTCAGCTCCTGGCTCTGCCAATGGCCCGCTGGGCAAGTCATGGCTGTGCCTCAATTTCCCCATTTATAAAATTAGGCTAATGATGCTGATTTCCTTTATAAAGCCCTTTGAGGTCTGTGGATGAAAAGCCTGCATAAAGTTAGGTATTATTATTGCACATGTTTAAAGAGACAGGTTGTGAAATGGGGTTCATTCAGCTCTTAAAGTCTCCGGCCGACCACACATCCAGTGGTGGTAGTGAACGTTGAGCCATGTTTTAGGAAGTAATGAACGTGTGATATGCAGGAGCAGTGGAAAGAGACTGATGTCTGTTTCTTGGCCTCAGTTACATGATTTTGATCAGGGTTACAATAGACAAAAAAGTGTATCCTATATGGCAGGAGTCAGTGACTCCAGTATAGCAGTGACTGCTACACATGGGACCAGCTTTGACCAAAGCCACATGGGATACTAAAAGAGAGACATGTCGGTCTCTGGGTTTCCATTAAACGCTGGACTGGTGTTGGAACTGGGCTGAATGACCAGGCACCGAGCTAGCCCTCTAACTGGCATGCCAAGAAGAGGATTGTGCAGAGGGCATCTTAGAATGCTGCACATAAGACTAGCTTCTGGGGAGATTGAAACGTATCCTTTCATTTCAGTATACAGATAGTCCCCGATTTACCAACGAGTTACGTATCAAGCACTTGGTTGTAACTCGATTTGTTCGTAAGTCGGACCCCATTCATTTACATACGACCGTGCTGTTCGTAAGCACAAATCGCACGTTTGTAACTCAGGGACGCGCTTAATGGGAGGTTGGTCATAAGCAGGGCTCGACAAATAATGTAATCTGCTTGCCTGTGGCGAGCAGATTACAACGCAGAAGAGCTGGCGCAGAGCGATCTGCGCATGCGCAGAGCACAGAGCTGCACGAAACCGCGTGGCTGGCGAGCAGGGCTCACTGCCGCTTGGCAACTCCTGGTCATAAGGACAAACTGTCATAAACTGATGCGTTTGTAACTCGGGGACTACCTGTATACTGTTCTGTTGTATATTCAGAGCTAACTCAACCTTCATTTGGCTGCCATGCAGCAGAAAAATAAAACTGCAAGGACTGCAGCAGAATGGGTGGTGACTTGGAGAAGGCCCAATGATGTAAAGGAGCAGATGCTTTTTTTTAAATCTCAGGCCAGTTCTCAAAGGACTTTTTCCAAAACCACCATCACCTTAGCACCAGTGTCTCACTCATGGGCAGTCTGAGCAGAGAAGCCAAGGAATGAATGAGGAACTGGGACTCCAGTAAATTCTTGGGCCACGGTAGGGCCCTCCATTGCAAGATGGAGACTGTATCGGCTGGGCAGTGTGAGGCAAGTTTGTACGTCACTGCCAAGTTCATTTTGAGGGCCGTCAATTAGGTGTCTTTCACCTGCACTGAGCCCACTTTGCAGAGAAAAAAATCCCTGTGAGTATCTCCCCCAACTTTCCAAAGGAAGTGGTAAAAGCCCTTAGGTGAGCCATTGAAAATTGGACTGAGGAGCATGTGGTGGTGTTCTTATGTGGTATGGCTTGTTCAGAGAGGTTGCAGTCAGACCGAGGAATGAGCCTAAGAGTCCAGGAGTCCCAGAGCCGGGGTTCTATTGGGTCTGGGAACCAAAGGATGCTCTCCTCCCTGAACCATGTGAGTTTCTCCCACGGCAGAGTTCCTGTGGCGCATAGCTCTCTTGTAGGCTGCGGGGTCCGGGGCCATCATCACCTCTTCCCGCTCTGCCCCCGCTCTCCCCCCTTGTTCTCCTTCCCTGAAGCTCCTCCCCAGAGCTATGCAACGACTCGGGAGGTTAGCAGGGGTTGCTGCCTGCGGGAGGGCTCTGTGTACCACACATGTGACATGTTCGCATTGGCCTTGGTTAATGAGAGATGCTGCTGCGGGCTGAATGAGGCATCAGTTGAATCCAGCCCTAGATGGAACAAAGTGTCATTATGCAGCCCACGGAGGGTGGGGGGTGAATCTCAGTGGCTAGGTCCTCCACTGAAGGCAGTTTCTTGCCACACAAGGAGGGAAGGAAGAATCCCTCACTTAGCAACAGTCTCCACATCCAGGGCTAGTCCGGGATCTGGCGGCACCTTGAGGCTTTGCACCACCCACCTGGTCTGATGACTCCGCTATAGGAGAGGTGTCAGAGCATGTCAGCGTCTTCCCCGTCCACAGAACATCCTGTGTGATTTTTCCTGAGTTGACCTAGAGCCAAATGCTCTTTGTCCACCTGTCAAACTCCTCCAGATGCTGGGACACCTTGGGGATGGTGGAGGCTGTATCAGTGAAGAAGGGAGCTATGCAATTATCTGCATCTCACACAGGGCCCAAACTCCAGCATCTCCTGGCCTTACTACAGGTTGGATCTCTCTCATCTGGCGCCCTCGGGACTGGACTGGTCCTGACTGAGGGGTTTTGCCAGACCAGAGGAAGTCCCTCCTTACATGGCCTGTGCTGAATTCCTGCCCCCTGCTAGGGCTCCAGCCCGGCATTGCTGCTGTCTGCCTGGCCATGGCTCCCCAGGTTGGAGCTCCCTAGCTGCTGCTGCCAGACCCTGAGCTCCAGGGTCAGAGCCCCGCAGCTGCTGCTGGACCAGAGTTCCGGGGCCAGGGCTGGAGCTCCCCAGCCCCTGCTGACCCCTGCTCCCGGCCACAGGGGGCACAACTCTCAGCTGCACTGCCTGCCCCTCCGCCTCTACCCTCCGCCTCCCAGCTGAGTTGCTGGTCCCCCCCACCCCCGCCACGCTCCTGCCCCACGACCCGACCTCTTTATACCTGGGCTCTGTGGTCCAGGAACATCCCTGGTCCTGCTGGATCACAGATGTTGCCAGACCAGAGAGTCCTGGCTAAGGGAGGTACAACCTGTACATGGCGTAGTGGACAACAGAGGGGGGAAGTGTGTCCTGAGCCTTGGCTGACCTTGCCCAGTCAATGCAATAACCCTTTGCCTAGCCCTGCCCCGCCCCTCCTGCACACCACTTGCAAAGCCCTGTTTGGCCTGGGGATTGTTTTTGCTGCCTGTCTTCCTCATGCTGGGGCAGGCTGAAAGCACCTAACAATCCCGTCTCTCCTTACAGACCTAGGGAAGGAGGTGGGGAAGTTCCAGAAGAAGTTAAAAGAGAGTCTCCCCGGCAGTGAGTGGAACCCTATAGACACCACCAAAGGTCTCCCCCCTGAGCAAGCAGATGTGGTCATCGTGGGGGGAGGGGTGATGGGCTGGTCCGTCGCCTACTGGCTGAAGTGCCTAGAGACCCGGAAAGGCGCGCTCCAAGTGGCCGTGATTGAGAAGGACCCCACGGTAAGTTACCCAGGAGGAGGCTTCTACTTAAACACAGCATCTCAGACTTGTGCAGAGCCCAGGTCTTATTTAGAAACTGAGCTGAACTCCCAAGCGCTGTGGCTGCTCTGCACACCCGCCCCACCCTGTCCCCCTCCTTGCACCAGGTCTCCCTTCCTTCCCCACAAGAAAGGTTTGCATCCACAAAAGGTGAGGCCAGCTGCCCCAAAAGAGCCGAGTGGGAGGAGTCCAGAGAAGAGCCAGCTCGGTATGTGAGGAGAATCAGAGGCCCTGCAGAGCTGTGGAGGAATGGTTCTAATGGGGGGAGTCAAGGAGCAATGGCCCAAGGTGAAGGAAGGAAAAGTTCATGCTGAGCATTGGGGGAAGAGAAAGGGTCTTAGCAGCCAGAGCAATTGGGGCAGTGGAGGCTGCAAAGACTGATTGGAGCAGGGTCGGTAGGGAATGGAGTAGTAGCTGCCTTGCAGAAAGAGCAGTTGGGCTGGGTGATCCAGTAGTTCCTCTGAGACCAGCATGCCGGGAGGCTACAGTATTCCGACCCTCTTGTTTGGATCAAGGACTCATGCATTCCGTGGTATTAAGATAGATCAGCACCTGTGTGTTCAAGACGTAGCATAAGCAGAACCAGGATAGTATTCTTGCCAGCAAGTTAAGGAACTATGGATTGGATACATGGACGGTGAGGTGACTGGACAGCTGGCTAGATTGGCAGGCTCATCAGGTAGTGATCAATGACTCATCTGGCTGGCGGTCGGTTTCAAGTGGAGTGCTCTGGGAGTTGGATCTAGGTCCTGTTTTGTTTAATGAAGACATTGATGACCTGGATGAGGGGATGGGTTGCACTGTCAGCAAGTTTGTGGATGACACTAAGCTAGGGGGAGGTAGATACGTTGGAGGATAGAAATATGGTCCAGAGTGACCTAGACAGATTGGAGGATTGGGCCAAAAGAAATCTGATGAGGTTCAACAAGGGCAAGTGCAGAGTCTTGGGATGAAAGAATCCCAAGCATTGCTACAGGCTGGGGACTGACTGGCTAAGTAGTAGTTCTGCAGAAAAGGGCCTGGGGGTTACAGTGGATGAGAAGCTGGATATGAGTCAGCGGTGCGCCCCTGTAGCCAAGAAGGCTAATGGCATATTAGGGTGCATTAGGAGGAACATTGCCAGCAGATCTGGAGAATTGATTATTCTCCTTTATTCGGCACTGATGGGGCCACATCTGGAGTATTGCATCCAGTTCTGGGGTCCCCACTATAGAAAGGATGTGGGTGCATTGGAAAAAGTTCAGCAGAGGGCAACCAAAATGATTAGGAGGCTGAAGCACATGACGTATGAGGACAGTCTGAGGTATTTGGGCTTGTTTAGACTGCAGAAGCGAAGAGTGAGGGGGGATTTGATATCTGTCTGAAGGAAGATTCTGGAGAGGATGGAGCCAATCTGTTTTCAGTGGTGACAGGTGACAGAATGAGGAGCAATGGTCTCCAGTTACAGTGGGGGAGGACCAGGTTGGATATTAGGAAAAACTATTTCCCTGGGAGAAATAAAAGATAGAACTATGTAGCACTTTCAAGACTAACAAGATGGTTTATTAGGTGATGCGCTTTCGTGGGCCAGACCCACTTCCTCAGATCAATATGTGGAAGAAAATCTGCACAGCCATATATACCAAAGTGATACAATCAAAAAAAAAAGTGAACGCATGTGAAATTGACAAATCAAATTTTAGAACAGAGTGGGGGTGACGGGGGAAGGTAAGTTCCTGTGAGGTAGTGACATAGGGGTGATAATAGGGGAAGTTTCTGTGAGGTAATGACATTAGGGGTGATAATTGGGGAAGCTATCTTTGTAATGGTGAGATAATTAGAGTCTTTGTTTAAACCCATACATAAAGTGTCAAATTTAAGCATGAATGACAATTCTGAAGCTTCTTGTTGAAGTCTGGAGTTAAAGTCTCTTTGAAGCAATATGCATGTTTTAAGGTCATTAAGTGAATGATCAGTCTGGCTGAAATGGCAGGCAACAGAGGCCTTTGCCTCTGTGATTTCATCCTTTTTCCTCCCCATTGTATTTCTTTACCCACTAATGACCAGGGTAGGATTGTGGCAGGTTTTGGCCCCCTATCATAGGGTAACTGCGTTCCTGCTCCACTGGGATCACCGCTAAAACCCACAATCAGGATTCTCCTGAAGATGTATCTGGTTTCCAAGAGATGAGTGCCCACATCACCCCATTGGTACAGCCGCTCCCCAAGTTGCGAGCGGTCGAGTTACGACCATTCACACTTACGACCAAAGCTCCCATGGAGCGGTCGTAAAGACGGTCCCCGAGTTACGAACGCAACCCTCATGTACAAACAGCGCGGTCACGTGTAACTCAATGGGGTCCAAGTTACGAACAGCTCGAGTTACGGCCAAATGTTTGGTCCGTAACTCGTTCGTAACTCGGAGAGAGGCTATAGTCTCAGGAGGGAATGGTCCATGAAAACCGATGTCCCCTCTGCCCACTAGAGGGAGCTCCCGGGGCTCCTTGGTAGGCAGCGTAGCTCTGCTTCTACTGGTCCTGGCTTTGCTCCATGGATAGGGCTGATGGGTCTGGGCCTTTCACCAGCATTAGAGCCTGGGAGAGGGCAGACCAGAAAACTCGCTGCCTTCTTTCTGTTTTGGTAACAGTCGTTGTGACCATCCTTCCCCTGCCCCTTTGGCTTCCTTGCAGTACTCGAAAGCCTCCACCGTGCTCTCTGTGGGAGGGATTCGGCAGCAGTTCTCCTTGCCAGAAAACGTCCAGATGTCCCTCTACTCAGCATTCTTCCTGCGCACAATCAACGTACGTCCCACAGGCCAAGCTCTGGCGGGAGGCGCGAGGGCCTTGTGTTCTCCAGGGGCCCCAGAGTCTGTGAGCTCCGTGCTAGAGGAAGTCAAGAGTCAGGCTGAGGGGTGCTACAAGCATGCTGACCCCCTTGTCGCCATGACTGCAGGTGGAGCCTACTACGATTCACGTCATTAGCAGTGTGTCTGCGTGACTGTGTTCATCACACATTGTTTGGATCGTCTTGTGGGCTTCTATCTCCTGCTTGCGGGTGTCAATCTGGAGTGGCTCTGGATTTACACCAGTGTGTAAGATCAGTATTTGTCCCTTCTGCAAGCATTGGCCTATGCTTACTAATACCTCAGGCTTTCTGTTGCTCTTTGCACGTTGTAGCACTGCACAGACATTAACTAGGTCACCTGCTGCATGACCACGCCAGCGGCCTGGGTTTGATTCCCATCTTTGTTCCCGAGCTGACAAGTGCTGGGAAATGTGTGTAGGTGATGCTGTTGGTCCCTAGAGAGACCTGAAGGGGGTTATGTCGCTTGTCAGCAACCCCTCGGGCAGAGCCAAGAGCTGCACTGGGGTCTCTAGCACAGGAGAACAGGTCATTCTGAGGAGGGTGTCAAATCAGTGCAGTTCCTCCATAATGCAGTGATGATTTCTTGAGTGGGTCCTGGCCAGGTCCTTTTTCCTCTGCGTCTCTCTGAACAGGTTAGTGACTGAAGTATTGACAGGCACACTCTGTCCACAGGAGCATTTGGGGGTTGTGAACGAGCCGCCCATAGATATTCAGTTTAACCCCTTGGGGTACCTCTTCCTGGCCTCAGAGGACGGAGCTGCCATATTGGAGGAGAACGTGCATGTTCAGAGGTACAGCCTCTCCGCGGGGAGCATGCTGGGAGCTGGGAAGCGAGGCTGTGGAGGTCGTGGCCGATGGTGGGCAGCCAGTGTTGTAGCAAAGAGCCCAAGCAGTTACCCTGGGAGCAAAGTAGGCACAGAGGATATTGCCTTTATGGGCACTCCAGCTCAGTACTGAACTCCCTCCAGCTCTGCAGAGAAGCCTCCAGCATCTGTACAACCTCGCGGCTCTAGGTTGGGGTTTTCCCATTCTGCCTGTCCTGGGCCCCCCTTGCAGAGCATTTTTACCGCACCCCAGTCTGGCCTGCCCATGCCTCCCTTCTAACTGCAGCCTCCCGAGATGGGGTAACTGACTGTGGAAAACCCCTGGGGCTTCATTAAAAGCTCGGTGGAGAGCCCCCAAAATTATTCCTTATCCCTTGTGGCCAAAGCTCTTCTAGCCCAGGTGATTAGATGGGAGGAGCTTGTTCGCTGGCCCTTTGCCCCACCTGGACTCCCATGGCACTGAGCAACTTGAGTCCCACAAAGCGCTGCCCCACCAGTATTCTACACTCCCTGGCAATGAACTCAGATGGTCACGGGTCCTGTGCGAATAGGTGGGTCTTGCCCGGCAGTGGGAATTGGCCATTTCCAGAGGTAACCAAGGGGAGCCGCGGGGGCAGAGAACCTAACTTGTTTCAAGACTGAGCTGGCCAAGTTTACAGTGGTACAGTGAGACTGGTGGCACAGTGAGGCTGCCGACAGTGCCGTGTAGCCAGTCTGAGACTACTAGCGGCAAATATCTCCAGTGGCTGGCGACGGGACACTAGGTGGGGTGGGAGGCCCTAAATTACTACTGGAGACTCTGCCCCAGGTGTCTTCCTGGCAAGTCTTGTCCACATGCTCAAGGTCTAACAGACACCGTATTTGTAGTCAGGAAGGAATTTTCCCTCTGGCTCAGATTGGCACAAACCCTGGAGGTTTTTCACCTTCCTCTGCAGTGTATGGGGGATGGCTCGCTTGCTGGTTTAAACTGGGGTAAATGGCTGCTCTGTAACGGAGTCTTGAGATGTGATTTGAGGACTTCAGTAACTCAGCCAGCGGGTAGGGGTCTGTTGCAGGAGTGGACGGGTGAGGTCGGAGCCTGCAATGTGTCGGAAAGCAGACTAGGGGGTCACGATGATCCCTTCTGGCCTTCAAATCTGAGTCTATAGCGATTTCGGTGGCCATGGGGTCTTCTGCTGAGCGTGCCCATGACCCGTCCCTGCGTGAGTAAGAGAGGTGGGCTTGACAAGCTTGAGGAATGATGCCTTGATACCCTTAGTATGGGGAGGAGATCTGAGGAGAGAAGCAAAACTGCTGGGGGAAGGAAGGAAATTCTTTCAAGTCCCCTACATATACTGCAGAGGAAGGTGAAAACTTCCTTGTTTTCCCCTGGCAGTTATGCTTTGTTTTCTCCAGATCTCCTCCCCTATGTTTCCTTGCTCTAGCTAGATCAGGACAAAACTGGCATATTCTGATGTATATTTAATGGCTTTTCAGGGACCAAGGAGCGAAGGTCTCCCTTCTGTCACCAACACAACTGAAGAAGAAGTATCCATGGTTGAATACCGATGGTGTGGCTGTGGCATCCTACGGTACTTAGTTTCTAGACCCCTGTCTAACCCATGGGGGACTGGAACTCCCTTTATACTTCAGTCTCACTAAATATTAGAGGAGTGAAATGAAAAAGAAAATGTAACGGCTGTGTCTGAAACTTTAGAAAATGCCATTGAAGGAATTGAAAGGACCAGCTCTCAGTGCAAGGGTTCATCTTGCGCTTAATATTTAAGTGCAAAACCACATTTTAATGCCACGTTAGGGCTGAAAAATCAAAGTCCAAAGTAAGAGAGTACCAAAAATTAAGGTTTCTGATAAATATTAAACCAGCTTGGTACATGTCTTGTCTGTTTTATGGCACACTTCGAATAACATAAGCAGTAGTACACCATATAACAAAGCAAATGGGGAAAATCATTATGTACGTACATATGTACAATATTACCAAGTAAATGTAACTTTTGGGGGCTTGATTTCTCAGCAGTACATTAACATTAGGTGGCAAGAATTTATTTCCTTGTTTCCTTATGTATCTACTGAGAACACAGTTAATTGAAAGCGTCGCCACGTCAGACTGGGGAGGAGAAATAGAATTCAGATGGATTTGTTCCGAGCTGCTGACTTGACGTGTTCATGCTTCTCAAATTATCATACTGACGTCAGATTTGAATTGGTTTCCCTTCCCCATTGAGGTCTACAAATGAAACCAAGTTAAAAATTTCTATCCTTACCCTCTCGTAGCAGAGGAACTGAAAAGCCTCAGCTGGCACGTGTGGGGACAGGATTCTATCTTCCTGGCTACTTGGCACAGTCACTCTTCAAACAAATAAATCTTTTGGATGAGACCATACACAGAACCATTCAAACCTGCCGCCAGGGGGGAGGCGAACACTTGACCCGGGGCCTGGCCATTCAAAGGGGCTCCTGACTCAGGCTATGCCTACTGCAGGAATTGTCCCCGGAGCAATTTGGGTGGCACTGAAGGCTGGTTACCCCAGCCTTCCCCTCCCCCACACCTTGCCCAACGGTCTGTGAGATCTGTTACCACCCCTCTCCTGGCCAATGAGAATTTGTTTGACGAGACTGAAAAACAAAAGTGGAATTTGCCCTCGTTAAAATGCTCCTTGCTGGGAACTGGTGTAACATTCACACAACTATAAGTTAAATATTTAAGTGTCGCTGAACAATGCCTGTATCTTCAAGAAAAACATTGATGCCTTAAGCAGACCTTAAGCAGGTCTAGCTAACCTCACCTCCTCTATAACATAGGAGAGTAACACATACCCATCTGTACCGTGCATAAGATAATGCACAGGTTCTTATATGCAACTTCCTTTTGTGCCTGTGACTAATTCTCCTCGGGCTAAGCATAAGCACTGGTATCTGCAGAACTGGGGCTGTAGTTTGCAGGCATCCTACATTTTGGGGGCTTGAAGGTTGCTTTGTTCATCCTGTTCTTCCATGTGTCCATTCCTGGTTTCTATAGGCCTAGAAAATGAAGGTTGGTTTGATCCCTGGGCCCTCCTCCATGCCTTCAAGAGGAAAGCAATATCCATGGGTGTCTATTCGTGCCACGGAGAAGTGACATGTAAGTGACCCATCTGTGTCTGAGGCTGGCCCTCTGTACGGTTACTATGTGCTGAGATCCTCCAAGTGAAGCAGGGTTGGATCTGGTCAGAACTTGGATGAGAGACCTCAGAGGAGCACGTAGGATTGCAAGGAGTAGCATTAGGGATTTGATACTCCTCCACCAGAGTGCTGGGGGTTGCTTAGCTGAGCGGCTGCTGAAGATGGTGTCTTTGAAATAAGATAGGAAAATTAAGATAGCCGCTGAAATGAAATAAATAGCCACCAAAACTATTGAAAACCTTGAATCAGAAACAGAATGATGAGGGTGTGAAGCACTGGAAATATCTTTTAGACACACACTGAAAGTTGTTGTCATTTATGGACTCAGACTGGAGTCCAGGAGTCTGTTTCCCTTGCCACTGATTAGAGGGGACGTCACACACGCTAGAGCAGTGTGAGGACTGTAACTTCGGACCCTGCTTTGGAAATCAGAGATCAGATCACGTGGTGGTTCCCTGTTCTGTTCATTCCCTCTGGGGCACCTGGCGCTGGTCACTGCCAGAACACAGGACTCTGGGTTGGATGGACTTTTGGTTTGACCTAGTCTGTGCTTCTGTTCTCAAACAGAGCTCTGAGCTCAGGTAACAAATCTTTAGTTCCAAAGATTTAATTAAAAAATGACAGACAGCCCCTTCCCAGCTTTTTCTAGTCACTTTCCTCATCTCTTCGTTTAAAATTAAATTACATGAAGCACTGGAGGCTATCGCCGGTAGGGAATAATGGAAACGTGTTCCGAGAGACTCCCCGAAAGGGTACCATCTGATGTCTGTGTTGAATGTCATGGCTGTCGGCTACCCAATGGGTCAACGAGCAGAGAGGGTTTATGGAATAAGGACGGGGAGTCGGGATACGAAAGGTGTATTCCTAGCTCCATCACAATGTCACTGAGGGTACGTCTAGACTACAGGCTTTTGTCGACAGAAGTTTTGTCGACAGTATCTGTCGACAAAGCTTCTGTCGAAAAAGAGCCGCTTTGTCGACATTACAGCGTAGACGCAAAGGACAGTGTAGATGCAATAACGCCTTCTGTCGACAGAACTCTGTTGACAAAAGGCGTTATTACTCGTAGAATGAGGTTTACAGCTGTCGACAGAACTCGGCGGCAGTGTAGACACAGGTATAGTTTTGTCAACAAAAGTTCATTTTTGTCGACAAAACCCTGTAGTCTAGACACACCCTGGCTGTGTCTAGACTGGCAAGTTTTTCCACAAAATCATCTGCTTTTGCGGAAAAACTTGCCAGCTGTCTACACTGGCTGCTTGAATTTCCAGAAAAGCACAGACGATCTCATGTAAGATTGTCAGTGCTTTTCCGGAAATACTATGCTGCTCCCGTTCGGGCAAAAGTCTTTTTCCGAAAGACTTTTGCGCAAAAGGGCCAGTGTAGACAGCTCAGATTTGTTTTCCGCAAAAAAGCCCCGATCACGAAAATGGCAATCAGGGCTTTTTTGCGGAAAAGTGCATCTAGATTGCCCAGGGACGCTTTTCCGCAAAAAGTGCTTTTACGGAAAAGCATCCTGCCGATCTAGACGTGCTTTTCCGAAAATGCTTTTAACGGAAAACTTTTCCGTTAAAAGCATTTTCGGAAAATCGTGTCAGTGTAGACGTAGCCCGTGAGTGACTTTGGGCAGATCACTTAATCTCTCTGGATCTTTGTTTTTCCAGCTGTACTGTGAGACTAAGGACTGCCAGCTGTCTTTGTAAAGCATTTTGAACTCTATGGTTGAAAAGCACTTTGAGAACTAAGTATAAGTATCCCGCATCTAAAACACAATATCTCTGATTGCTGGGTCTTGGGTGATTTAGCACAAGTTCATTTCTCAGTAACCTGCCTAGTGACTTCCCCACTTTTGTTGTGACTCATTCGTGAGCTCCATGGCTGCCTGTTATCAATCACTGCGCATTACGGATCAGTGAGCGAACATTGTGACAGAGCAGGGATTGTATTATGCACTGAAAACAAGCTAGCAGCTGTCAAGAGATTTTAGTATGAGTGGCCTGGGAATACACAGTATGTACTAGCGAAGGGACTGTAGGTACTTCACTAGCAGTCCAGAGCAGTGTTTCTCAACCTTTTTTTTTTTTTTATAAAGTACCCCCCCCTTTTTTTTAAATTATAAGTACCCCCAGTACCTACATCTTTCAGACACACACAATTTTTTTCTACTATTGCAACACATTTGTTTAAACAATTTAATGCTAGCTGGGCAGGATATGAAATTTTTGGGTATAAAAAGTACAAAAAGAATAAAGCGCCGTAAAACTTAAAACAAAAATTCAGTTTTTTCCAAATGTCAGCGGTGTTGATGTACCCTCCAGACTTCTCTCAAGTACCCCAAAGGGTACTTGTACCACTGGTTGAGAAACACTGGTCTAGAGAGTGCCACTTATGAGCTGTGCTAACTGGCCAGCTGTGCGTGCTGTAGGCAGATCTGGATCCTCAGAGATATTTGAAGACAGGGAGCAAGTTGCTGTTTGCTGCATGTTTTTTGTTTTTGTTTCTTTCCCAGCCTTTACCACCTCCTCCACAGAACTCCTGACGCCTGAGAGGGAGCTGACCTTGTCCCGCATTAATTATGTCCATGTAAGTAACCTCCCAGTGGTCTGGTCCCACAGGAACTGCTCTAGTTCAGACAGGAGAGATCTGTGCTGGATCCTGGTTTGACCCAATTTATCACTTGGTGGAAGAAAAATACCTGCCTGTGTAATTGACTAGGCTCTCCTAAGACATTTGCATTAGGGGGCCATGCTGGGTCCTTCGGGTAACCCTGCAAGGGGGATATTTTAACAGTGAGGGGGTCTGGCCATTAGAACAGCTCCTGGAGGGCCATGGTGGGTTCACCTGCACTTGGAGTCTTTCAGATTGAGACTGGATGTCTTCTAAAAGGCTCCACTGCAGTTCAACTGCAAGTTACTGGGCCCAGTGCCCAAGTCGCTGGGTGGCATCCCGCAGCCCAAGCCATGCTAGAGGACAGATTGAATGCTCACTGATCCATCTGGTCTTGAGTCCATGAAATCCAAACACACTGCATAACTGCAAAAGCTTCCCTGAGCTTTGCATGGGCTGTTGGCCAGGGGAACAAGTGTAACCACACAGTGATGCCTCCTAGTCCAAGGATCCAGGCAGTGGGTCTTCATGGGTGTGGGGCTCCGGGTTCTATTCCTACCTCTGCCGGCGTGACACTCTCTCTCCGTGGGCTTCGTTTTCTCCCCACAGTGAAGTCAATAATATTGATTCACTTCAAGGGATGGGGAAACCGAGGCACAGAGCGATGCTGGCACTCACACAAGGCCGCATTCTGAGTCAGTGGCAGAGCCAGGAAGAGAACTGTCCTCACCACTTCCTGCTCTCCAGCAGCCCGTACACAACCCACCTGCCCTCCCCCGTCTCTTGCTCTTTCCCATGATGCAGTTTCCAGTGCAGGGTCATTCAGGAGCCGGTTCTTTGCCCCCAGCGTAGCGCTGTTGCTCTGTCTCTGGGCAGCCTGGAAAACCTTCCTGGACATCTGCCCCCAGAGTTCTTTGGGGTCTGTGAAACTCCCTGCTCTCCCCTCTTGGGCCTTCCAGGTTCAAATGCCCAACAGTTTGGAGAACCAGCCCGTGGAGTGCTCCCTGGTGGTCAATGCAGCTGGCTGCTGGTCAGGGAAGTTGGCAGAGATGGCTGGCGTTGGGATCGGCTCGCCCAACACCCAAGACGAGATTAAGCTACCAGTGGAACCCAGGAAAAGGTGCAGGTTACCCACCATGGCCCGGTGGAGTGGGAGATGTGACACAGGAAGAGACTTTGTGGGGCCGAGGCCCTGGGGGGTTGCTTTCCGGGAGGTGTGGGCATTGATTTCCACATTCGGGTTTGATTCCTTTACCGGGAACCCGCATGTCCCCACCACCAGGGGACGGGCTGGGGAAGGGCGTAGCTGGTTGGGCCAAGTGAAACTTCAGCACCACAGCTGAGGCGGTGACATGGCGCGTGTTCCCTAAGGGTGACTGCGCTGGGCAAGGGAACGGAAGCAGTTTTCCAGAGCACTCTGGGAAATACCCCACTCTCGCTTCTGTTGCTCTGTGAAGGCGGAAAAGAGGAGCCTGGGGAATTGGGAGGAGCTGGGGGCTGGGATTCCCTTTGCCTGGCGTGGGCAGCAGGCCCTGGCGTGGGCGGCAGGCCCTGCCCTTAGGGGCGCTCACCTTCCGGAAGCTTCTTCCCTGTGTCTGCTCTGGCTCCCAGGGCTCTGCGAGCGCCCCTCTCAGGATGGGGTGGGGTGGGGTCTCTTGGTGTTCAGTCCTGTAGCCACACTGACTGCGCCCCCTGTACCCCAGGTACGTCTATGTGTGGCACTGCCCCGACGGGCCCGGCCTGGCGTGTCCCACGGTGATTGACACCACAGGGACTTATTTCCGCCGGGAAGGCATAGGAGGCAACTACTTGGGGGGCCTCAGCCCAACAGAGGTGAGTCCATCGAGCAGTGTCCTCTGTAAGCTGGGTGCACGTCCGCGGGTGGTGCCCACCCGCCCCTGCCTCCGTGCGCATAAAATGTATTCTGCACATGAATGGAAAAAATTAGAAGGGACATTGGTTTCAAGGCATCCGTCATCGGCGTATCCGCTCAGACAGGGGGAGCTGGGGAGGACTCTGGGGGAGCAATCGCCCCATTAATGGGTGGGTCAGGGGAGTGATCGTGCCATAATTGTGGCGGGGAGAGCAGAGGAGCAGTAACCCTGGAGATCTATGGATATGGATTGGGCGGGAGTTAGTGACTGTGCCCCTCCTCCCCCTTCCCCCAACGGCAGACAGCTCATCCCAGCAGGAAATCTGGGTTCACTGAAACAGGAACCAGCCGAGGAAAGTGGTTTTAGTTGCTCGCCAGCGGGTTTGAGGAGCGTGGATGAACTGCCAGAGGCGTTCTGATGTAGCAGGGGAAGGCGGTGGTTGCAGTGGGCGACTGGGGGAGGGGAGGGCAACAGCTGTTAGCTGAGCTGCTCTGTTGCTACGCTGTCAGACACAGCCTTGGGTGCACGTACTCGGTCCATTTAGCATGGGGGAATTCTCCAAGGAAGTGATGGGGCTCCCCAGTCCTTACAGAACCCCAGACCGACGTGGCTGTAATGATTTACCCGGCTCCCCCACCCTGGAGCTTCATGTGCAGAGTGGAACCAGATTTGTCCCCCACCAGCATCCCCACACAGGAGCTGGGTTCTGCAAGCCCACAGCCAGCACTTGTGCTGTTACAGCCTCAAAGCCAGGCTCCCCCACGCTGCCAGGCAAAACACCCTGCCGACTGAGCTGTCCCCTGAACGCCTGCTCTCCAGCAGCCTCTCCCAGCTCAGGATGCTCACCGGTAGCTCCCTGCTTAAGTCTCTGCCTTTCTAAGCTGGCTGAGCTCAGGCACCATGGCCATAGATGGCTGTTTGTTTGCGGGAACAAACCCTCTCTCTCCGTCCTACCCCCCAGGAAGAAGAGCCAGACATCCAAGACCTGAAAGTCGATCACAGTTTCTTCCAGGAGAAGATCTGGCCCAAGCTGGCCCATCGGGTGCCGGTGTTTGAGTCCCTGAAGGTAACGGGGCCCGTGCTTGTCCCCCTTGAGAAAGGAGGCTGAGGAAGTGAATCTCTCTCTCTCTCCTGGGGGGGGTCGGTCCCTGGCTTGGAGAACCCCAGGGAAAGAAGGTTTGCTGATGGGATCTGATGGGTAGCATGGCACTGCAGGAGCAGCCAAGCTGGCAGGACTGCAGCAGCTTGTAGCCCTATGGCCGAATCCGCACAGGTGGCTGGTGGGGACACAGGGCCCGGGGAGAGGAGTGAGGGGAGCAGCTTTTAAAGTGAGTGGAGCGCTGGGGGAAGGAGCTGGGCTGACAGCTTGCGGGGGAAGCCTCTGTCCCCCGATTGGGAACAACATGGGGGGCAGTCAGTGACAGCGGGAGGGGCGTTGCCTGGCAGCTAGCTCAGTCCTGTGCCCTTAGTGTGTGTTCTTTGGGCAGGTGAGGAGCGCCTGGGCTGGCTACTACGATTATAACACGTTTGACCAGAACGCGGTCTTGGGCTCTCACCCACTGGTGGAGAACATGTTCTTCATCACGGGATTCAGCGGGCACGGGCTGCAGCACTCGCCGGCGGCAGGCAGGGCCATGGCCGAGTTAATTCTGGAAGGCAAGTTCAAGACCATCTGCATGGAGAAGTTCTCCTTCAACAGGTTCATCACTGGGGAGCCGGCCCTCGAGAGGAACATCATCTGAGTGCTTGGAACTAACCCAGCAGGTAGGTCTCACCTCCCTCCTCCCACATCTGACCCGCTCTGTCCAGGAGCATCTCAGAGCTCTGCAGCCTGACAACCCACTTGTTAGCACAGGAAACTGAGGTATGGCAGGTCGGTGGCTGAGCTGGGAATAGAGTCCAGGCCTCTGCTGTATTCACTAGGCAACACTGCCTCTAGGGGGCTGTTGGTTTTGGCTCCCCTTCTCCCAGCTGCTGACCCAGTCATGTTGTGAGCTGAATATGTGCGCCCTTGCTCTGTGACGGAGGTTGCAGCGCAGGGCTTGCTGCAGTCTGTACTCAGACGCTCGGTGCACCCTTTCTGCCTCGGTGGTGTCCTGGACCCCTCTCAAGATCTCTGGTGCTGGTGCAAGATGTAAGAGTGTAACCGTTTAAATGGGTAACCAGTGAGCACGGTTACGCACGGCTCCTAGTCCGGCTCCCCTGGAACCAATTGCTGCCTCTATCAGGGTGGCAAGTGGGAACTGGTACGTGTGGGGAACCGACTTACAAGCCATCTCTACACACACCAGGTGCTGCCTGCTGCCCTGCGCTGCTGACGCTCTCTATGAGAGTCTGCAGTGTGTGGCAGCAGCCGGCTCCCCGGGGTGGGGCTGGGAGTGCACTGGCTGCTGGCCCTGCTCCCAGGGAGCCAGCGTGTCACCGCTAATATTTGTAGTGGCTACTCGGTTACAATAATCAGCGTTTAACATCCCTAGTGGACGGTGCTTGCTCCTCACACAATGTCTGTGTATTTCGCAAACCAGAGACCTCCAATGAGTGCTGTGCCCAGCTACTGCTCACTTGGGCCAGATGTAGCCTGGGGACAAGAGGGGAAAGGCCCCATATCCCACTTCACTTTCGTTCCTGTAGGAGAAATAGGCTTTCCCTCCACCACTTTTCTGTGAGCCATCTGCCCGGTCCCTGGGTCCAGCCTCCCCAGGCTCCGAAAGGCACCAGCTGTCCTGTAGGCTCTGCTGATCCTGGGAATCGAAATTAACCGACTGGTTCCACAGCCTAGTGCCTGCCAACTCCTGCATGTAGGGTGAAGCCTCAACAGCAGGATGACTAAGAACATCCATGTTAAAGGCGGTTCATGTGCTCTCTTGCATCTTAGAGAGCTTAACTTAATCTGACCTTTGTTTCTTCGAGGCTTTGTTTTGCTGGACAGATTCCAATTGGCTAATGATTCTGCCGATCTCCATAGCCCTTGCAATGTCCATTAACTAGAGTTGTCTTCACTTCCTATCCCAAACAGTTGTATGCTAGTATAAAGCTGTAACATTCCCCCCAGAGGTGGCCGCAGTTCAACATTATGGCTACGTCTACACTGGCACGAATTTCCGAAAATGCTTTTAACGGAAAACTTTTCCGTTAAAAGCATTTTCGGAAATTCGTGCCAGTGTAGACGTAGCCATAATGTTGAACTGCGGCCACCTCTGGGGGGAATGTTACAGCTTTATACTAGCATACAACTGTTTGGGATAGGAAGTGAAGACAACTCTAGTTAATGGACATTGCAAGGGCTATGGAGATCGGCAGAATCATTAGCCAATTGGAATCTGTCCAGCAAAACAAAGCCTCGAAGAAACAAAGGTCAGATTAAGTTAAGCTCTCTAAGATACAAGAGAGCACATGAACCACCTTTAACATGGATGTTCTTAGTCATCCTGCTGTTGAGGCTTCACCCTACATGCAGGAGTTGGCAGGCACTAGGCTGTGGAACCAGTCGGTTAATGGGTGCCGAATTTTAACCCCTCACCCCCCAAATGGGGCTGCAGAATGCTTTGGTGCCTTAGGGCTCACAGCACTGTAGGAACAGAAGTTCATTTGGAACTGCAGGCCCTGGAGGAGGTGCAAAACAAACATTCTGAGAGCATGTGTCTTTACAGCCCGTGGGCAGTGCTCTCCGTAAGCTGAGCACCTGGGCAGCCACCCAGGAGGGATGCAGATGCCGCCCAGCTGATTAGCAGAGCACCCACGGCTAGAAGGAGCTGGCAGCATGTGTTTCTACTGGTGGTGCACATCTACACATGTCGTGGTGCGCGTAACATTTATTCTGCACACAGCTGGAAAAGATTAGAGGGAACACGTCCAGTGTCTTGTTCTTGTCTGCAGCGATTCTCCCCTGAACACCTCGGGGAGCAGGCCATACGCGGCCCAGAGCAGCGCCCAGACACAGTGTTAACTCCCTCAAATGTTCTGAGATCCAGATTGCAGGGTGGGCAAGAGAAGTAAAAACACATGGATCCCTGCAAGGAGCTGGAGCACTAATCAGTGATTCTTCCTCTCGCAGATGGAGCCCTGGCCAACGCTGGCGGCTAGTGCTGCTCCCTACTCAGGAACTGACTGGACTGCTTGTTTTCAATGCAGCCTCGTGGGAGCCCCAGAGTGGATCAGAAACCCATCCAAAGAAAATCCCTCCTGCTGTTGCTAAACCCTCACTTTGCTGGGGTGCGGACTCCGTTTCAGAGGCACAGAACTGAGGTCTGGGGTCTGCACGGTGCAGGGAAGGAAGATCAAAGCTGTGCCAGAGGTGACAGATCACAGCTGGCCCAGATGGGGGAGGCACATGCTGCTGGTCTCCCCCAACTGGCACAGCACAGCCTGGATGTCTGACAGCTGAGCTGCCGCCATGCCCTGCCTAGTTTGAGATGTGCTTTCCCCAGGGCATGGCCATTGCTTGAGCCGTTACCCTGGCATGGGCACCCCCAGGGCTGCTGAGCTATAGAACTCTACCACCGTGTTGAGCTCACCCTCACTCTGCAGGGTGCTGGGTTAAGAGGGATGGGATGCGTGGGGGCCGCAGCTGGTGGGGGGGGGAGAATAGCTCCCAGCTGCTGTCCTATCCCAAGCGTGCCGCAGTGTTCAAGGAGAGGAGTGCGAGCAGGCAGGGCTGGGCCCCCCCAGACCTTCCTGCAGCTCCAGCTGCACAGCAGAGATTTTGTATCATGTCCTCTCTCGTGATCTGGACTGAAATGAAGCGATTCTGCCCCACGGGCTGGGTGTGTGGCAAAGGGCAGCGCCCTCACCCTGTCCAGGGCTGCACTGCAGGCGTTGACAGTTGTACCTCGTTCAGCATCACAGGCAAAACTGACGCCGGCATCAGGCCCTGGCTGCCCCTGCCCGGTGCCACCAGCAAACGGCAGTGGGAGAAAGTAAGGAACCTTGACCAGAGCAGGACTGTGCGAGGGGCCTGGGCCTGCATTTGCACCGCCCTGGGCTGCTTACCAGACAGCCAAGAGGGGAGTCAGCTGTTTTAAGGCTCTACAGTCTTCGAGGGACACTGGGATGCTGCGACCATGTGGCCCAGGATCAGTGTTGGGCCCTGAGCTGCCCTTTAACTTACACAAACCCTGTCCCAGAACTCCAGCTGGGTGATGCTCCATAGACTCCTAGGGCTGGAAGAGACGTCAGGAGTCATCAAGTCCAGCCCCCTTCCCAAAGCAGGACCAACCCCAACTCAATCAACCCAGCCAGGGCTTTGTCAAGCCAGGACTTAAAAACCTCTAGGGATGGAGACTCCACCCCCTCCCTAGGTAACCCATTCCAGTGCTTCACCATCCTCCTAGTGAAATAGTTTTTCCTAATATCCAACCTGGACCTCTCCCACTGTAACTTGAGACCATTGCTCCTTGTTCTGCCATCACTGAGAACAGCCTCTCTCCAGCTTCTTTGGAACCTCCCTTAAAATAGTGGACTAAACAAAGCCCAAATCCCTCAGCCCTTCCTCATAAGTCGTGCTCCAGCCCCCTAATCATACACCCCTCTCCTAATCATACCCCCTCCCCCGTTTTCCATCTGCGGAAGCCTGTGGGAGGTGTAGCCATACCAGACACAGAGCGCCTTTGCAGATGCTTCTTAAACACTGTTGCTGTGCCTTACTAGCACAAGAAATACACAGATCTATGCACAAACAACCCTCCACTCAACATCCCTACCTTGATTTCCTCACCTTCTTCGGGTTGGGGCTGCCCAGGGTACGTCTTCTGCAGCACGTGGTTTGTGTTGAGAACGACGGAGCTGTCTCGCCCCAGCCCGCTTTCTGTCCTCAGTTGGCCAGCTCCTCGCCCCTGCCCAGCTCAGTCAGCGAGTTGTGCTGGTTTAATGCATCCAGGGCTGGGGGCGGCTAGCCGGGCAGCTGCCTGGGGCGCCAACCTATGGGGGACACCTGATTGAAGTGGTATGGAGCACTGCGTGCCCGGGGCAGGGCCGTGCGTACGCCGCGCACCCAGGCGTGCGGCTCCCCTTACCACTTTAATCAGGCACCCCCCATAGGTTGGTGCCCAGGGGTGGGACTGCGCATGCGCCCGCTGCCCGGGGTACAAGTATGCCTCAGCCCGGCACTGAATGCATCCTACCGCCTGCTGCTGGTGCCTTTCTGTTCTCTCACAGACAAGCCAGGGGCAAGCGGCTGCCTCCTGCTCCGTTTGGCTGCTGCAGCAGCATCTTGTGCCCAACCTGAGCCCAGTCACTGAGGAGAGGTGTTCCCGCCTGGCTGGGGCCTGGTGGTGGCTACTCGAAGCTGGCGCTGTTCCGCGATGCACGTTTCCTATAGCGTCACATTGATCGCGCTCGGCCCTGTGATGTCAGCTGGCGTGAAGGGTTCAGGGGCTCACATCAGGGTTTACCCAAGTGGGAACAGATGGTGGGATTTGTTTAATAAGTTTGCTTACTTGATTACCAGGCATCTTAATGCTTCACTAAAAGCCAGTGAGGGTGTATGTTACCATAGCACCAGCTGTAGCCCTTGGCATCTCCATACACACAATAATCCCTGCACCAAAGAGTTTCCAATCCTCCCCCCACCATAGACAAACCAACATCAGCCACTTAATGCATTAAGGGGATGGAACAGAGTTGATGGAAATAAACCACAAGAGATAACAGCTGATGCCATGAGTCAGCTGCCAGAAAGCTGCTCTGTCTAAAATGACCCAGGTGGTAGAGTGCCGCACAGACTGGGCAAGTAAATACGTACATAGCCAGCTAAGATGGGGAGTGGGTACCAACAGCACAGACAGCCGGAGCCTCCCCCGCAGCCAGGGAAGTGAAACCTACAACAGGAATGAAAGCAGATGTAACTGGTTTTATTAAAGCTACTGTTGTAGACAGCTGGATCTAAGGCAGGGGCTGGAAACTTTTGTGGCACTGACCACAGAAACAATCAGGCAGGGGCCACACACAAGTGAGAAGGAAAAAAAAAACTCACTGACCTGACCCCCGTTTGAGAAAAACTCCCCACGTTTTCCTCACACAACAGAGCCCTGGGGGCCCAGGCTAGTGGATTTTGGGGGCTCCAGCCCTGAGTTGGGCAGGGGGAGCTGAAGCACCAACACAGGCTCCCCAATACTGGGGTGAGTCTTGGGGGCTGCATCCAGCCCCCCAGGCCTTAGGTTCCCCACCGTGGTCTAAGGCATACATTAGCCAAAAGTACAAAGTTTGGTCTAAAAAAATCTATATGATACCTAATCTGTACTATCCTAAATTCAGGTTAATAAATGTAACAATACAATTGAGATCTCCACATCCAGTAACCTCGCTCGGAAGAGGCTACACTAAGGGTGTGTCTAGACTACAGGGTGGCCTTTTTTCGAAAAAACTTCCCATGTCTAGACTGCTGCTGTGTTTTCAAAAGTAAATCGAAAGAATGCGGCATTTTTTTCAACTGCAGAAAGCCTCGTTTTACAAGGAAGAACGCCTTTTTTTGAAAGTGTTCTTTAGGAAAAAGGCGCTATGTAATGCAAACTGCTTTTTCGAAAGTACCGGCTGTAGTCTAGACGCTCTTTTTCGAAAGAGGCTTGCAGTCTAGACGTAAGTTGGTGGAAAGCAAATACAGCAGGAAGCATAGACGGTCCCTCCATAACTGAGAAGTCAGGACCGCGTGTCCCTCAGCTAGTACAATGTCAGAGAAGCGGCTGAGTTACTTTCTTGGCTTTGGGACATCGAGATCAGCTTTGCCCCCCACTTTAGCTACGACAAGACTCCCTGTCCTGCTTTCAGAGCCACAGGAGACCAGAGCCAAGGGACAGTGGATTCAGACCTGGATTGGACAAGCCCAAGAATGGTGGCAAAGTTTCAGCATTTCATGCTCCGCACAAAGATGGGCAGAAGGCAACAGCCATGTCAACATTCCTCACCGAGGCCTCCCACCCTGCCGGCTGCCACAGAGGGCTGCAAAACTTAACGATCAGCTCACTGGTTCCCAGCAAGGCTTACTCGGGCAGACCACACGCAAGCAAGGCATTAATATGCCTTTAAAAAAACATCCGCTCCCTGAGCTGGCTGTGGTTTTTGACTTCTGTGGAGCCCGCCTGGAAGGCAGTAGCCTGGGGTGTGTCCCAGGCCTGACAGGTCAGAGGCTGCACAGACTGTTTGCTAAGAGAGAAGTTTAAAACGTACCCATCAGCTAAACATTTGCCACAGCCCAGCTACAAAAAGCACAGGGCAGTAACCAAAGGGTGGCTCGTGCATACAAGGCGTTAGATCGGTAATGGACAACCTCGGCTAGTGAGTGGCCCTCCTTCAGCCGAGTGAGCCACAGATTGTCTTAACCAAACCAGTCTGGGCTGGGGTAGCTTTGCTAACTGTGCTTGCGAACCTAGAATTTGCAGGGGGTGCCGACTGAACCGTAGCAGCGCTGTGGAAGTGCCCGGCTCTCACAAGCTCACGTGCAACCAACACACATCTCACTTCACGGGTGTGTCACTTTAGTAATACCCAATAAGAAAAAACGGGCTGAAAACCAGCAGAATCTGGCCCCCCATGCGTTGGCAACGGTAAACCAAATGTCTCACGTGCCACACATCGAACCCCAACGGGCTGCGGGTTGGCTCCCATCGCAATCGATTGTAATGCAGGATCTGGGTTTAGGCCCCAGCTCAGCCTCCCTGAGTGATCTGAGCAAGTCGCTTAGGGCCAGATTTTTAAAGGATCCAGCAGCTCCCCTTGGAAATCTGCCCAGTGCGCCATGTGCAAAATGGGGGTGGTGATACTCCCTCATTCCCCAGTTGCTGTAGGATAAATTCACTGTGACACACAGACCCACTGCACAGGAATGGCCTTTCCGAAAAGATTCAGCTTTTAGCGTGGCAGCAGCATAGAAAGCCCAAGCACCAAAGGACAGGTGGCTGAACCAGCTGAAGGGGCTAACACAAGGTACAGCATGGCAAAGTCTCCTGAGCGAATGCCAATGGACGTGCCACCTTGGCCCCACAGCCAGGGCTGTCAGTCAAGGGATTAGGGCAGAGTCCAGGGCGCACGAGGGACGCAAGTGGGCTCGTGTAGTGCCTGGCTCCAGCATGGGGCTCTCCCCACGTCCATAGGCCGCGCTGAGGAATTCAGCTTTTAGTCTTTGGTTTCTTTGTCAGCAGTTCAGCTACAGACGGAGCAGCTGGGAGCTTCCGTTTAGCACCTAATGGGAGAAATGAACAGCCAGGTTATTAGGCTACAGAGGGCAGGCCTGGCCTGTCTCCCTGCTCATACATTGCACTAGAGCCCCATGAACTGAGGAGGCATGGATGGGAGCCACCGAGCAGTTTGCCATGTCTCAAGTGGCAGGAAGAGCCACCCCTGCAATAACAGCACTTCGCTCCTGCAGAGCATTTCTCATCCCGAGGCCTGCAAAGTGCCTTGCAAAGAGTCCCATGTGGTTATCCCCATTTTATATGTGGGGAAACTGAGGCACAGGGAAGTCATGTGATTTCCCATGGTCACCCAGGAGCTTAGTGGCTGAACTGGGGACAGAGACATCTGTTCTAAAGCTCTGCCTCCCCAAGGCTGGGCTGCCCGGGGTGGTCTCCCATTATGCACAAACAGCACCTTGCACGTCACATCCTGGCCAAGAGAGGCCAAGACAGAGCGGATCCAGGCCAGGGGGCTCGCTACCTTTCTTGCCGCTCCCTCCCTCCAGCTGGGCGGTGGTGCTGGCCGATCGCCGGGCGTAGGCCGCCTTCATCCGCTCCACGTTCCTCTTGCTCACCACCTCGTGCACCACGATGGGCTTGGGATAATCTCGGCCAATCACACAGCCCGCCTGCTCCTGCATGCTTCGCGGCGCCTTCCAGGGCTCGTAGATGTACGCGGCAGGGAACTGCCGGAGGAAGGGGAGGTACTTCCTGCAGCAGGGTCAGGCCCCAGAGGAACAGGCAGCCCCACGGGAAACAAGCCAAGGGGGAAATTCAGTGCTGAGTTACCGGTCATCCAGGCATCCAAAGGCAGGGCCAGTGGCCTTCACCAGCCTGGCCCGGCCCGGCCAGCCCATGCTGAGAGGGCTAGAGCACAGGACACATGACCAGTCCTCTGATGCTGCTAAGGGTGGGAGTGGCCACCCTGTCCTTCCCTCCTGGGAAAGAGAAGAGCTCCCACATGCCCGTCTTCCAAGACCACCCCACCTGGGGGTGACTGCCAGTCGCCATGGGGCTCAGAGAAGGAGAGCCCTCAAACCCATGGAGATCCGCTTTTTAGCTGTGGGCATCCATGGATACGGATGCAAATATCTGCAGCTCATTTTGTGGATATAGAGGTAGATACCCTGCAAATCTGTGGCTAGCCACACTCTGGCCTAGGGTTGCCAGGTGTCCAGTTTTCACCTGGACAGTCCGTTTTTTCTGGCCCCTGTCTGGTTAAAAATAAAATAAATCAGACATGTCTGGGTGTGGAGGAGCGAGGACTGCAGGGATTCTTAAAGGCGCAGAGCCTTTTTTTTTTTTTTTTTTTTTTGGCTTCACAGC